ATTGGAATTTATTAATTAAAAATTAGATCTTCTCTTCAAGACTTTTAAAATTATTTCTAAAAATTCCATTTAAACAACAATTTATATATTTTGAATTTTCAGGGTGTGACACGAACGTGCTTAGTGCCGCCATGCATCCAGTTAGCTTCTGGACTTCCTTGAGTTTTGTGGGCGACTTCATGTTCTCGATTGCCTTGATCTTCTCGGGATTTTCTTCTATCCCTCTTCCAGAGACGAGGAACCCGAGCAGCTTGCCCGATGGTACTCCGAACGTGCATTTCTCTGGATTAAGCATGAGGCGATATCGTCGGAAGTTGTCGAACGTTTCCCGGAGATCGTCAATCAATGAGTCGCTTGTGTTGGTCTTGACAACAATGTCATCGACGTAGGTCTCGACATTGTTCCCAAGCTGATCGTTAAGTGCTCCCTGGACCGTGCATTGGAAAGTATTTCCTACGGTTATCAGTCCAAACGGCATCTTAAAGTAACAGAATACACCAAACGGCGTGATGAATGTTGTCTTCTCCTCGTCCTCTTTCGCCATGCTGATCTATTCGAGGAAGATGGAAGTGATCCTTTGGGCTCGCCTTGTTGAGGTCGGTGAAGTCAACACACATCCTCCACTTCCCGTTGGCCTTGCGCACCATGACTGGATTGGCTAGCCACTCTGGACGGAGAACCTCTCTGATGAAGCCAGCTTTGAGAAGCTTGTCGAGCTCTTCTCGTATGGGTTGTTTCCGGTCTGGTGCAAATCTCCGCATTTTTGTTTTATTGGCTTGGCATCGGGTCGCACCATGAGTTTGTGCTCAATCACCTCCCTGGGGACCCCGGGCATGTCGAACGGCTGCCAAGCGAACACGTCTGCATTGTCGTAGAGGAAGGTGATGAGCGCGAGTTCCTATTTCTCGTCCAGTGACGCCTCGATCTTGACGGTCTTGTCGGGGATGGCACTGGAGAGTGGAACGATCTTGATTGCGTCGTCTGGCTTTGGCGTCTTGTTTGTTTTACTCACTTTCTTGGGTGGCTCAGCTGTGGCGGGTGGGTTGGGCGTGTGCTCGACCATGTCGAGGCTCCGCCTGTCGCACTGCCCCGCGAGCTTTGCGTTACCCTGAATAGTGATTGTTCCCTTCGGCCCGGGCATCTTGAGCACTTGGTACGTGTAGTGAGAACCGGCCATGAACTTCGCGAGTGCAGTTCTCCTGATGATGGCATTGTATGCTGTATCAAATCCAGTGATCTGTTCTGTTCGGAAGTTGTTTGCTTGGCCGAAAGTTACAGGCAACGTAATCTTGCCCAATGGCTTAGACGATGACTGAGGAGTAATTCCATGGAAGGGTTGATCAGTGGGCGTCAACAACAGTCTTGGGGTGGTCTGCTTCAGAGAATTCGATCTTCTGCTCAGACCACTTCATCTTGGGGGTAGCCCCCTGCCATGTCGAACAAACTTCGCGCTCCACTTTTTTGTACTCTTGCTTCGAGGAGTATGCCGTGGAACCTCCGAAGATATGCGAAACATGAATATGGGAATCTGGGTATGCTGAGTCCGAGTCCTGAGTAGCTGCTTCAGTGGCTTTCTCGACTACACGTACTCGCTTACCCTTCTCCAATGCCAATTGTTTTGCGAGTGGCTTTTTGAAAACGAAACAAGCTTCTAGGGAGTGCTTGTCCGATTTGTGTATAAGGCACCATATTTTCTTCGTATCGTCCCTTTGTGGGTCTGGGTGCTTGGGTGGTTCCGCGTATTCTGCTACGAGGACTTCTGTTTGAGCTTTCCTTTTCCCACTCTTGCGACTCTTCTTCTTGCTTGACTCAGGTGCGTCCTTGGCTGGTTTCTTCTCTCCTCCCTTCTTCGGCTTATCGTTCTTGCGTCTCAGTGCGTCGTCCGCGTGAGCGCATCGATCGACAATCTCGAATAGCTTTCGAGCAGTTGTGATCTGTCTCGTCGCCAACTCCTGGGTGGTGTAGCGATCTCTGACACCAGTCTTAAAAGCGCGGATCACAGAAGCGTCGATGATCTCGGGGATCATATTTCTGCACCCATTAAAGCGCCGAACGTAGTCCCTCAATGATTCACCCAGATTTTGTGTCAACGCGTGTAGGTCGTCTTCGATCGCGTGGCGCTTGTATGTTCCTTGGAAGTTGGCTATGATCTGCTGCCACAGATCTGCCCATGAAGAAATCTAGTATGGTGGGAGGTGGACTAGCCATAAACGTGCAGATCCTTTCAACGCCGCTTGCAAATAATTCACCAACACGTTGTCGTCTGCTCCGGCAGCGTAGAATACTATGGAATAGACCTGAAGGAACTCCTCAGGGTCAGTGCTCCCATCGTACTTCTATATTGCTCTCGGTCGAAATCTCTCAGGCTATCGAACATCACATAGAGCACGACTGAAAGCTCTACACCCGCCGCCGGGGGCGGTGGGTTGTCGGTGATCGTATGTCCTCCGTGGATGTCTGTCTGATCACGAGGATGATGAGGATGACGATGAGTCACTTGGTTCCGGGGTACGAATACGAGGATGACGTCTAGGTTCTCGAGAATCCTGTCGTCGCCCACCGTTGTTGTCCCGACGGCGATCTCCGTCGTCGTCATCATTTTGGTGGCGTCCTTGATCAGTCTCGCCCGGCATCCGCTGTTCGCGATCATCGCGTTCGTGGCGGTTATCACGGTCTTGGTTCTTGCTCGGGTGTCCTCCTCGCTCTTCGTTCTCCCGACGTCGTGAAGAGACGAGATGTCGGGAACGGTTTTCGTTGTCTCGTGCGCGTCGTGCTTCTCGGCGGCCATTCAAATGGTCACGGAGATCGCTGGTGCCGCGAGGTGGAGGGGTGGCTTGACGAGGTGATGCCCGCTGCCCAGGTAGTTCGCCATTGGCACCGCCAATTGGCGGGTGTTCTGTCGGTACTCCGGCGGCGGCCCCCTCGAACGCGTTACTGAGGTTAGCCACTGATTCCCGTAGTCGTTCTGTCCACTGTGCGAGATCATCGTTCAGAACGGGATCATAAGGGGTTTCCCTCAGTATTGCGTTGATGGCCCTGATGTGCTGGGCCGGTGTAACCACTTGATCCTCCGCTTATGCGTTAGCGCGCGCAGACATGCTGGTCCTATCGATAACGAACACATCACATGGTGTACTCGTCGATGATGAGGCCTGGTCTTCGAGCAAGTGTAGAACCGACAGCTCGTGGGGATCGACGTCGATTACCCCAACGAATCGATCTGAGATAACTGTCGCTCCTTGTTCCTTGTCCGCATCTCTAAGAGAGATTTGTGACTGCTGGACCTTAGGAGGTGACGTCCTCATGGCACTGAGAAGAACCTTGCAGCTTGAGAGGTCGTGATTCTTTGTCTTGTGAATATGACAATAGACATCACGGGTTGGAGAAGTACATTGAATTCCACGCTCTTTGCAGGCACAGATCTCAGCTTGTACGTCGAGAAAAACCCAGCAAGCCTGCAAGGTGTGTTTCCTGGTTTTGTGGATAGGACACCAGGACCTTGTTGCCTCAGAAATTGTCCTTGTCGGCTCGTGATTCTCGTCGGAAGGACAAGATTTGGCCGCATTAGGATCCTTCTCGGGCTTGGATGTCGTCGATGTGTAACATACCTGAATTCTAGGATTAAGGAATTTCCATCAAAACTAGTTGAAAGGGAAGTTCTTCAATTTTGTAAACCAAAAATTTCCATTTTAAACCTAGGTGAAGTTGATCTAACTCTTGCATGATAAAATTTTAGAACAAATTAAAAACCTTTGCATCTCTAACCTAGGACAAAAATATAAATTTATGTGTAAGCATGCATACTCTCATAGACATGTTTGACTTGAGTCCTTCATATGCAATTGGATTTGGATTGCATTCGGATTTTCGATTTGCATATCATAATAGGTCTCATGAATATTAACTAAGATCTAGATAAACAACTGGACCATTAGGGCCTAGTGCTAGCTAGAGGAAGTTAAAATAGGAACCATACACCTTAAAATATATCAACAAGGCCAATGCCAAGCCCCACAAAACTATTTTGGTCATCCATCTGAAGACTAGTCATGAACATGGAAGTGACCAAATAAATTATATCATATAGGATATATTCTATCTTAATCATCTCTATAAGCATTCTCTTAATTTAATACTAAAGTAAACTTGTGCATAATAGGTAAGGAGCTTATGACCTGTGTAAGGTAAACTGAAATTCTAACATATCATTATCACCTCAGGTTAATGAGAGTCCAAATATAACTTTTATAAACATTTACATGCATTTAGGAAAGGAAACACATATAAGACATAACTCTTGAGAATTATCTAAAATAATTCGTGCAAGATAAAATCATGGGAAAATTCATGTAGGCTCTACTCAACACATACAACTCACTGTAATTTTGGTATGATTTAATAACTAAATTTGTACCTCAAATAAATCAGTCAAACTAATAAAAACTAGATTAACTGTAGTTCTTAATCGGCTAAAACCATACTTTATCTAAAAGTGCATTTAACTGCATAGAAGTGTATAAGTAAAATAATTTATTCAAATACTAGGTCATTTATCATTAATAAAAATAATTTTTTCAGAATTTATCTTCTCTGTTTAGGGCTCCTAAAAATTCGAACTAGTTTCCAAAGAACCCATATTCCTCTAATTTCTGTGAGTAATCTATCCATAATTTTTGAGTGCAACCAAAGAAAATGGAAACTAGGTACATACACCTACCTCCAGTAAAATCAACACTAGTTAATCTGATCAACACATTAAGTATTGAAGCTACAAAATTAGAGGAGAAAATAATTCCGGAAATTCGTCCAAAAACCAAGCTCACCCATGTTTCTGCCTACACATCTCTCTTCCACCTAGTTTACTTCGACCTGGGCCCCCCTTGTCAGTCCCTCCGGCTTGCCCTTCCTCTGTGCAACTTCCCTAGCCGACCGAGAAACACTGAGAGGGAGAGATCGAGCGCCGACCGGCTCTGGACGCCGCACGACGCGTGGCCACGACGTGTCGACGCCCTAAAAACGCCGAGCTCCATTTCTGCCTCTCCCAGACGCGTCGCCACTCTTCACCCACCATTCCAGTGCCGATCCATCCGAGGGAGAGCATCCTCGCTGCTCTTCTCCACTGGTTCTCCATCGCCGGCTGCGAAGAAGACGATGGCCGCAATCGTTGATGAGCCGCGGTCGTTTCCTCTTCTCTTGCGTTCCATACTCTCCTCACCATGCCGAATATTTCTCCTTTTGATTTCATCCTCTCTGGTGCAGCCAATCGGCGGGAACGCTGCCATGCACACCGGAGCTCTGGAGCGCGCTCTGCGCACCGCCGCAGCAACATCGTCGCCGTTGCCATCAATCTAGATCAAGCCGGAGCGAGCCACCACGCCACCAGCTTCACCTCAACCTCCTCTCCATTTCCCCTCAAGAATCTTGAAGAATGGTGCTACGAGTGTGGAGATCGTCCACCGTCTTCTCCACCTCCGGTCGCCGTCGCCATTGTCGATTCCGCCTCCTCCGGTGAGCCATTGTCCGATTCTTCGCGTATACACCATCCCTGGGACCTCACTAACCCCATGAAACACATGCATGTCAATTCGATGAGTGGATCGAGCCGTTGCCGTCTTCCCGGAGCTCTACACCGTCGCCGGACCATCTTCTTCTCCGCTGCCGCTGTCCAGACTTTCCGGCGCCTCGTTCAAGGTTCGGTGAGCACCCTTGAGCCCATAGGATTGCATTCATGCATTTCATTCACTTAGAATTGAGCACCAACTCAACATGCAGTAGCAGCCTAAGCACAGCCGCCGCTCGGACTCGCCGCCGGCGTTACTCCGATGTCCACTGACCAAGAAAAGAAGAGGAATGGAATCGCAATAGCATGATCTTCATTTTGTCTTTTGGTCGCACCCTCAAACGAGCCACCGTTTGCCGCTGGCAAGCTTGAGATCGAGCTCAGCCATGGCTTGATCTGCTTCAGCTCGAACCAGGGACCTCGTCACAAGAATTTAGGTTAATGTAGGGCTCTTTATGCAAAAGCTCAAGACACACAGAACAGTCATAGGACTGCGGGTTGATTTCCTGAAACTATAGGAGCCTTTTTGCATATTGGCCTGAGACTGACAGTGCACCCCTTGGAAACAAAATCTGAAATTATAAAAGAACAGTAACTAAAACTTGTAAAAATCCATATAAAATTAAATATAGCTCATTTTAAGATGATTCAAATTTCTGTGAACTCACCAAATTGGGAACTTTGATGTTATGGAATAAAAACTTGCACTCACAGTACAAATTTAGCCTCTAAAATTTATCCAAGTTAAATCACACATAAAGCACGCACAAAATTTATAAAATGCATACAAAATTCATTTCAACTCATTTTGGAGCAAACTCAATTTCTACAGATCCACCAACTTATGTTCTCCTATAAAGCAAAATGAAATAGTATACATACTATACATCAAATGCCTCTAAAACTATTACCTTTAAATGACTAGTTTTAGATAAGCTGAATTTTAGAAGTTCATATAAAATTCATCTTAGATCTTTTTTTAGTAAACCCAAGTTCTGTAGAATCACCAAAACATATACTTCCAAATTATAAAATAAAATTATATACTTACTGTATGATAAAAGCCTCTAAATACTTATGTAAGTAATAACCATCATAGAGCAACCTTAAATTGTAAAATTTGTAGAAAATTCATCTTTAGTCTAAATGAAGTGAACCAAATATCTATAGAACCAGCAAACAGTGGGCTTCAACATAGTAAAATAAAATATGGAACCTTCTGTACAGGTTATAGCTCTAAACTTTAAATTTATAGGATAGGTGCTAATCACATAGTATCGATTGAGCAATATGTATATATATAAATGTATATAGAAATACACTCTAGCTATAATGAAACTCAAATAAAACTTGTTAGACCAGTGAATGCATAGTTCCATTCCCATCCACCAAAACTTAAGGCACTTAGCTCATATAATAATTTCTAGGTTGATATAATAAATTGCTAACATGGACTAGAGCTCCCCTAGTTTATAAAATATGAACCATGATAATAAAGACCATAAGCCTATGAACTAAGGTTAGATTAGTTAACTAAAATATTCATTTTATACATCACTAGCTAGATGAGGCAAGTTCTAGACCTAAACCTCTAAAGCCATGAACCTATAGAACACTATACACCTATAACACGTTATAACTTGTAAAATACAAAAAGAATTCATATTAACTCTAAAAATTATGAAACCAAATGTGTTAGTGTTAGAAAACACATATCTTCACCCCAGCAAACATAAACTTAATAAGAATTACCTTACAACAGCATTTCACAACAGTAACTAAGTAAATCCTACACTATACCGACGAAACTTCTAAAATTCATAACTCCCAAATAAAATGAGATAAAATAGAAATTCTTTCACCTAAATTAATTTTAGACCAGTACCTATTCACTGTGCACAAATCATCCATTTTAGAGTATTTTGGATTTTTCGCATATTTCGGTGTTTAATTGCATAACGTGTACTTTGTATAGATGATTGCTTAAACGGTGAAGAAGTGATTTAGGTGCTGACATTTTCCTGATTCAAGGCAAGTCCCACCTCCATCTCTTTGATCACTTTGAACCTATGTTTTGGAGGTTATTGAAAATGTTTGCAAATCTTGCATGTCGATTGTACACTAATAAATTAAAATTTTGTTAAACTTGTTAGACAAACTCCTATTGTTTGCATTCACCTTGACCCCACATATATCCATATCCCTCATTCCTAACCTTAGGAACAATATGACTATACCACTTTATATATGAATTTTGGAGTCACTAGGTTACTATAATGCTTAGCCATGCTTAGAATGGTCTTCCTTGTCATTATGGGCTCATTACAAATATGAAAAATTGATTTTGAAATAATCTGGACAGAACTTTAATACTTGTGATTTTGATAAATAAAATGATGGAAAACATGGATTTTAGGTTTGAGCCTCAAGTGGTGCACATATGGTGATTAGTTGTGTACCGATAGGGGGAGAGTGTGCCCAAACCGACCTAAGGACTTCACTCAATGTCAGTTCATTTCGTATACAGTGCAACCACATGTGCTAGTATGGGATAGCCCAAGCTTAGTAAATTATTTATGGTTTAGCCTTACATTCTGGTAGGCCGGTGTGTATGAGTTCGTATAATTCAGAGGAGCTTCCTATTTACCCCGAAGTGGTAGTTTAGGTGACTAAGCGTGTCCAATACAACGGTATTGTGCCACGTGGTGGGTTCCCGTTGTGTCCGCCACCACGGCGTTAAGTTTAAGGCGTGGGCCCGCCACTTAACGGTTCTAGGTCATATAACATGTATGGCTTAGGATGGAGTAACACGTATCGTGCTGGTGTAGGGCTAAATCATGAATTTTGGAAAAGCTTTGTTGCAGGTAATAAATCGGGTACTTATGTATCGCGTGACATGCTCTTGCATGATTATTATTTCGTATCATGTGGGTAAAGTGTACAAACTCTGCAGAGTTAAAACTAATCGATTAGCCGTGCTCGCGGTCATGAGCGGCGTGTGGATATGTATTGAGTATAGACTTGTGTTTATTCTTCTAAATGCTGAAATTTACCTTCAAATTGTGATGAGATTTGAGAATGATCTCCTTGCTGCCATGGAAGGCAATGAGGTGCATATTTATACATGATTAATGCCTACCTTGATGCCCAATATGTCAAATACTAGCTTGCTGAAATTTTATTTGAAAGTAAACCTGATTTAGAAATGTTTTATGCAAATAAAACTTGCTTTATGCTAAAAAGAACCATATTATGCCTTCCTTGATTATATGCCTTGCAAGTAGGGTCTTAGGCTTGTCTTGGTGCTTGCCAGTACATTATTTCTAATAATGTACTGACTCTTGCTATTGAATTAACCTTTTGCTTGCAGGTTTTAGATTTAGTCTTTGAGTGATGCGGGTAATCGACTACTTCTTCTAGGACTTGAACTTAATGGGGTAAACCCCTAGTCGATGTGCTTGTGGATTGAGTAGACAAGCTTCCGCTGTTCTATATATTTATTTGGTCAGTTGGCCAATGTAACTAAAGTAGATGTAGTTTATAATCGCTTTCATGTTATTTGTGTTTGCTATGTATAATCATGCTTGAGATGAAAGTGTGAATCTAGTGCACATCCTGGGAACTAGATTCACATGAGTATGAGTTAAGAATATTTGAGATGTTGTAGATCTTTAGCCATTGTTGTCAAGTCTCCTGAATGTGTAACACATCTGGTCACCGCCTTCGAGTGGTTTGACGGGCACATCTCAGGCTGAAGTTGACTGGCAGGCTAAAGGCTCGGCAATGTCTCCAATATTCCTCTCTCGAGGCGTCGGATATTTCATTATACTTGTTTGATGACTTGAATTATACATTTCATCTCTCAATTATAATGGAAGGTCCGGAGAGCCTACGACACGATGTTCCGTTCTCCACTTCTGAGGGAGGATTCTTCGACATGGAGCCGTCCAGGGTTGTAACCACGGTGTTCTCGCTTCCGGTCATTGATGGACCAGTCGAGATCGACACCGTGGTGTAAACCAGGAAGACGAGTTTGCCGACCTAAGTCCATACCAGCATTGTTGAAGTAGAAACTCCTTGGTTGATGCTGGGGTTGACGCTGTTGTCGACGAAGCTTGATGACACTTGAGTACCAAAGCCCCCTACCTGGCGCGCCACTATCGACGGGGGATACCCGTAGACCGGATATAGAGGGTATTGGGGTACATTGGTACGAGAATCTACGTAATACGACATCAAGCAAATAAAAGACAAGGATTATACTGGTTCGGGCCCCTTGATAGGTAATAGCCCTAATCCAGTTGGTATGGGATTATATGATGGAAACCACAAAGACAAGGATTATATTGGTTCAGGCCCCTTGATAGGTAATAGCCCTAATCCAGTTGGTATGGGATTATATGATGGAAACCACAGATTACAAAGGGAATAGTAGAACTCAATGATACCGACAAGACCGTAGTCGAGTTGGTTCGACTAGATCACCCGGCGACTTAGCTCCTGTAGGCTCCGACTTCGTAGGCTGTGGTGGTTGTGTTGGCGGTGAGATTCGATCCCTTTGGTCCTCCCGGGGGGTCCCTTTTATACCGCGGGTCAGTCGATCTCCAACTAGAACTCGGAGATATCGGACTCCACACGATATAGTAACGACTCAGTTCTATCTGAGTAGGACTCCTTCCATCCGTGGACTCCGTTTCTGTTACATGATGGATTTCCTTAACATGTACAGGAAACATCCGTATATGTGCAGGTATACCGTATCGGTATACAACATACATCCAAGGGTAGAGGGTATACCTTATCCGTAACCCTAACACTCGTCGCTAGTGATTGTCTGCACATCACTGCTTCCTGAGCCCTAGTCTTCACATGACCCTGTTGGCATGTGCCACCTTAGCATTAATTGACCCCTAGCCACCAACACTCCTTGACAACCAGCACCGATCCCTGAGTCACCCAACGATGCCATCCCCCATGGCATAAGGTCTAGCCACAGTTTGCCACTATGTTCCATCTTATGAAAATTTGTCTTGCCTGTATTTTTCATTTTACATATTTGGATGTGGATTTGTTTTTGTTGTGACACACGAAGCCTCGAAAGATATATTTAGCTCTAGTATAGGTCCTATCAATTAGGTTCATGTTATGCTAGTTAGTTTGATTTTGTAACTAACAAAATGAAAATAAATATATTAGACCATAAGGCCGATCGGCCAATATATAAAGCATTTTCCTAACACTGTGTTTTATTTTTTCAAGCAGACAAAATATTTTCACTTTTACCGTTTGAAAATACCAAGAGGCCTCATATCTTTGGCTCCACCTATGAAAAATTGACTTTTACAGGCGAGGTTTGAAGAGGTTTGCCTATGAAAATACCTCATATTTTCGCAGGTGGAAACTCTTTAGACCGTGCCTATAAAAATTAATTTTTGCTGGCGGGGTCTAAAGTCGTCTGTCTAGAAAGTGGGGTTATAGTGTGGGGGCGTTACTAAAATCAGGACCCGATCGATCCAGCGGAGCTCGCAGCGACTAAGTCTTGGTAGTCTCCTCCTTCACCATGCCTCCACCACCGGTTCCCCTCCCCTTCCCTCTCCTCCACTACTGGCAGCAGGGCAGCATGGTGGTGATGGGGGCTCCTCCCCTCCAAATCTAGCTGGAGGTAGGTCTGCAGCACCTGACGATAGAGAGGAGAGGCGGTGGCGGATGCTCCACTGCCGTCCCCTCCTGTTCTATCCCCTCCCATCCCTCCTTTTCCTCGCAACTGGCTGGAGGCGTGGTTGGCAGCGCCCCAGATTGGTGGTGTCTTGCATCGTTCAACGGTAGGGAGAAGGAGGGGCGATAGCAGAGGCTCCAGTCCCCTCCCATCGGTCTCCTAGATTTGGTTAGAGTGGAGGAGATCAACGTTTGTGGCGACAGGCGTCGTAAAAGGAGGGTGGCGGTGGCAGCGGCACGTGGTAGAATGAGGAGGGGATGACGTGGCGGCTCCACTCTCCCCTCTTCCCTTTCTCTCCCCTCCCTTTCCCAGATCCTCCGAGGGGAGGAGGCCAGTAGAGGCGACAAAGGGGAGGGTGAATGTGGCTCGGCTACGGCAACCATCCTTCTCGGCATGGCGGCGGTGACTGCTAGTTTCACCAACGACGGCCATTGGTGACAGCGACAAGGAATGTCGTGTTGCTATGGATTTGTTTTGTTATGCGAATTTGTGATGTTTCTGTGAATTGGATTTGATTTGATTATACTGGATGGGAAATGGGAGGTGGATTGGATTGGATGGGAACTGGGAAGATTTTTTTTAATAACCGTTCGTCCTATTAAAAAAATTTAAGTAATTACTAATTATTTTTCTATCATTTGATTCATGGTTAAATATACTTTTATATATATATATATATATATATATAGTTTTATATATTTCACAAAGTTCTTGAATAAGATAAATGATCAAATATGTTTAAAAAAGGTCAACAGTATAATATTTAGGGACGGAGGGAGTATTACGTGGCGAGAGTAAACTGTTCATGTAAAAATCGGTAAAAAGAAAAAGATATATAAACTTAATTTGCATGCTCAATAACTAGACATTTAGGCAGAGCTCACATTTTTCATTGGAGAGATAGAATGGAGTTCATCACGAAGTTCAAGAGCAAGGAAAAAAAATCAATGTTCTGTATAGCGTAACATGAGTTGATTATTAAAATTGCATGCATGTCGCGTATAACTTCCTCGCCTATTGTCATGAGGAACTCATAATTAATTTAGTTTCAAACTTTTCACAGTTTTTACAGAGGTGGATCCGATGCAACAAATTTTGGTAGAAATTTCAATTCGATAAAGTTGAGTAGTTGGCAATTTTAAGTTGAAACATCATGGCTCAGTGAGTAGATGAGGAGTATCGATAACGTCAACATTCACGTGTTTCGGTCTGGAGACGATAGCTTGGACCACGCCTGCAACAAACGTGACACCCCATGTTTTATCGTGGAATTAGTGGATGGGTATATGTGAAAATTGTACAAATGATGAATGTTGAAATGTTATGAAAATAATGTGGGGAGAAGATGTGTCTTGCTTGTGTGAAATTTAAGATGTTAATTGCTAGTGGATGATGAGATGACATACTAGTGGGTATCAACTATACAAAGTATAGATACATACAATCAGGGTTTACGATTCTGACAAAATCTAGTCCGATTTCGTGAAATTTCGACGTTTCGATGAGGCTCGAAAGTATAAACCGTTTGAGATTTCGAGGAGTTTCATCCAAATTCAATTTGAATTGATAAAAAAAGAAAAAAATCAAAAAAATCTTATAAATACTATGATATTCATATAACCAATTGGGATATAAATTTTTGAAAAAAATGATGTATTGTGTGTATTTATTGAAACTTACATCAAGAAAGAAAAGAATAAATAATTAAAAAAAGAGACAAATTACCGATCGAAATTTCGATGATTTCGATCAGAATTTCGCTAAAACCGACCGGTTTTCAAGAACTTGTCGACAAACTCAGGGATTTGTATTCAAATTTTGGTTTATGAAATTTGTTCGGAATTTACCGGTTTTTTACCGGATTTCACGAAATTCCGAATTTCGCCGGTGCCCGAAACAGAAGAGCCTGTCGTAATCGTAAACCCAACATACAATGATATTTTTTATTGTTTTGGCGGTGGAAACTAGCTCTCCACACAGTTTCTCCAGCCAGTTGCAAAATACAATCTGTTATTTTCATTCTTTGCTAATTAAATATAAGTTGTTTCAGATATCCGCATAATTTTTAAAATTTCCTTACTAGTTGGTTTTTAACTACTAAATACTACCTTTGTTTATACAAACGGTTTTTCCCTAGTAAAACAATTTAGAGGAAGTTGCAAAAAAAACATTTTTATTTATTTGTTTATCATTTCGCACAAGGCTGAAACGACTTATTATATATATATATATATATATATATATGTTAAATGGAGGAAGTAGCTTTTTTCTAAAAAAAAATGGATCAATATGATTTTTTTAGCAACTTTCGTATAGAAACTTTTTGCAAAAAAAAAGCACCGTTTAGTAGTTTGAAAAGCGTACGCGCGAAAAACGATGGTGGGGAGTTGGGAACTCCTAACAAAGAACGCAGCCTTAATACTATAACCATCCATAACTTTTAAAGTACTTAGTTTCAAATCGTATGTCCATACACTGGTGGAGAAGGGGTTTTTCAACCGGGACTACGAATCCGGGACTAAAGATCGCTATCTTTAGTCCCGGGTGAAAAAACCGGGAGTAAAAATCCGGTTGGTGTTACCAACTGGGACTAAAGATACAACCGGGACTAAAAAGACTAGATCCGGTTGCTCTTTATTATTTTTTTTTCTTCATTGTTTTTAATATATATTGATTTCACCCCATCCCGTCCCCAAAATCCCAAATCAATCATCCTCAAATTGCCTCCAAATCCACAATCGATCATCTCAAATACTCAAATACATCACAAAATCTCAAAAAAAAAATTACATCAAGCACAACAAAATACATCCACAATACATCCACATCCACAGTCCACAAATCAATCACAATCCACAAATTAATCACAAAATCATCCCTAAATCAACCAACAAAATGCTCCACCAAAATATACAAATCATTCAAAAAAATTCGCAGTCGCCGCCGCCCGGCCGTGGGCCGCCGGCCGCCTTGCGCCCGACCGCCGCGCGGGTCACCGCCGCCCGGCCGCCACCCACCGCCTTGCGCCCGGCCACCACCGCCTGCCGCCTTGTGGCCAGCCCTCCGCGCTGGCCTCCGCCGCCGCCACTGGGGACGGCCCTCCGTGCGCGACGGCCGCCTCCCCTCCCGGATCCGACGGAGGGGAGGCCGCCGCCGCCACCTGGCCGCCTCCCCTCCCGGATCTGACGGAGGGGAGGCCGCCGCCGCCGCTCGGCCACCTCCCGCCGCCGGAGAGGAGCCGGAGGGGAGGGGAGGGGGGAGAGAATGAGGGGGAGGAGAGGGTTGAGAAGAGAGGAGGAGGAGAAGGAGAAGTGAGAAAGAGGAGGAGGAGAAGTGGGAAGGAGAAGGGATAAGATAGGGCGGGGAGGACGAGGTGCTGCTGGCCGGTGGCGCATGGGGATCTTTACTCCCGGTTGGTGTTACCAACCGGGACTAAAAATACATCTTTAGTCCCAGTTGGTAACTCCAACCGGGAGTAAAGCTTATGTTGATCTTTTTTCCCGGTTGGTAACACCAACCGGGACTACAAATAGATCTTTAGTATCGGTTGGTAACACCAACCGGTACTAAAGATGAAAAAGTACCCTTGATCTTTTAAACCGGGATTAAAGATGTTTTTAGTCCCGGTTTTTAATACAACCGGGACTATTGTGAAATCTGGTCGACCGACCAAAGATGGTTTCTCCACCAGTAATATTTTTCTTGAAAAATAATTTTATAATCACTTAAACTTATTAGATTTCATAAATAAATTTTTACTATAAAATTCTAGTCAAATTCTCACTTGGAAGACCACAAAAAATAGTTGAATTTCAAATGCTCTTGCCAGCAAGAAAACGCGACGTTGTATTCCATATACTTGGAGTATGCTTCAAGATTATCGCTTCTCCTTTTTAAAGTGTGAAGCGTGCGTATAGCATGCTTCAAGATTTCTGCAGCATCTTTTTGAAGTGTAAAGCAATAAAGCATACGTGCATGGAACAGTTATGAGGATAGTTTGTGGATTCTATGAAAAAAGTTGTAACTTCATATAGGCTCACATTCGAAAAAAAAATATAGGTGAAGCCCGGGTTGAGCTCATATGCTGGCAAACCACAGGAAGCTGCAAACTCCATTGCTCCTCTGCTAGAGAAGGCTAAAGGTGTTGTTCCCAAGCAGCTTCAGAAAAGAACTCCCCTCAAACTTGGGGTACTTACTGATCTTACTGAAACTGGAATTAATTATTCTTGAAATGATCTTAAGAACTATTTTATGTTTGGTGTAATCAAATTGGTGTTCAGGCCACTGCTGGTCTAAGACTGATTGGAGATGAGAAGTCAGAGCAAATTCTTGAAGCGGTAAATAATATTCTCACCGTAATCTGGTTTCATTAGATGATGTACTCTACTTTTGCAAAGATCTTAACCGTTTGTAGACTATATATTGATCACAAAAATGACATGTTTTCAATAATATTACTTACAGGTTCGAGATCTTGTCCACAGCAAGAGCAATTTCCAGTACAAACCAGAATGGATCAGTGTCCTTGGGGGTTCTCAAGAAGGATCCAACCTCTGGGTATGAAATGTTTGACATACTGTCATTCAGAGCAGAAATTTTCTGACAATTTACATCTTTATATAAATATATCATTTCAGAAAATAAAAATTCCATATGGTACATGGTGCAGGTTGCTCTGAACTATCTTTTGGGGAAGTTAGGAGGGGATTACTCAAAAACCGTAGGAGTGATCGATCTCGGAGGTGGTTCAGTTCAAATGGCCTATGCCATTTCTTCAGATGCTGCAGAAAACGCTCCTCCAGTCCCTGTCGGCAAAGATCCTTATGTTACAAAGGAGTATCTCAAGGGAAAAGATTATAACCTTTATGTTCACAGGTAGAATCGACAACAACTTCTTACCAAATTATATCTTACTTCTTCAGCTCCATGCAATTTTTGTTAACTTAATTTTGGTCTGTATTGACAACAAAAGGCTGTGGACCTGTGGTTAATTAAAAGAAAGCTTAAAACAGACTAACTCGGGCTTGATTAATTTCTGAACATCATTCAGAGTTAGTTGTGTAACACAAGGAAATAAGTAGTAATTATATACTTTAGGCAATGGTGATGATCAGACATAATCTTGAATGAACAGTTACTTGCATTATGGGCTCCAAGCTTCTCGCGTCGAGATTCTTAAGACGAAGAATGGGCAATTCAGCTCCTGCATGCTTCGCGGATTCAATGGTATGTCCCAGAAAAAATACTTTAATTTCTAGATTTAAATGTGTCACATTAATACCGAATACGTCTATATGTATAGGCTGGTGGAATGATTTTCATGGATTTTCGACATAAATAATTGAGGAATTTTAGAACCCCGCATGAAACTATTTAGCCAGAAAATTTCAAAACAAAATCATTTTTTTTCTAATTTAGTCAACGTTTATTCAAATAGGGGCAAATTAAATTTCCTCTTTTTTGCACGGTCGCCCGTTAAGAAATGTTCAAAACGAAACTGCAAACGAAAATAATTTGACGATTTATTCTTGGTCGATGACCTCGACGAAGGTACATACAAGTACAACGGCGAGGAGTACGACGCGGCGGCGTCGCCGGAAGGGGCGGACCACGGCAAGTGCGGCGAGGAGGCGGCGGCGGCGCTGGGCCTGGACGCGCCGTGCGAGTCCCGGAACTGCAGCTTCAACGGCGTGTGGAACGGCGGCGGCGGCGCCGGCATGGCCGACCTCTACGTGGCGTCCTACTTCTACGACAGGGCGGTGCACGGCGGGTTCGTCGTCGACGACGCGCCGAGCGCCGTGACCACCCCGGCGGCGTTCGCGGAGGCGGCGTCGAAGGCCTGCTCGCTGAGCTCCGGCGAGGCCGCGGCCGCGTACCCGGAGGCGTTCGACGTGCAGTTCATATGCATGGACCTGACGTACCAGTACACATTGCTTACAAAGGGCTTCGGTAAGTAATTGCAAAAATATTTCGTCCATTCCAAAATATAATACATCCATCCTATAATAAAATAAGTGCAGTCGTGGATATGTGTGTACAACTTTGATCATCTGTCTTATTTAAAAAAATTATAATTTTTTTTAAAAAAAATTAGTCACACATAAATTACTATTAATGTTTTATCATTTAATAGCAATAAAAATACTAATCATAAAAATGTTTCAAATAAGACGAACGGTTAAACGTTAAACACAAACAATGTAAAACTGCACTTAGACCCTGTTTAGTTCTCACGCAAAAACTTTTCATCCTGTCACAACGAATGTTTGGACACATGCATGCAGTATTAAATATAGAAAAAAAATTAATTACGCAGACTGCGTGTAAATTGCGAGACGAATCTTTTAAGACTAATTGCGCCATGATTTGACAATGTGGTGCTACAGTAAATATTTGCTAATGACGGATTAATTAGGCTAAATAAATTCGTCTCGCAGTTTACAGGCGGAATTCGTAATTTGTTTTGTTATTAGACTACGTTTAATACTTTAAATGTGTGTCTGTATATTCGATGTGGCAAGCCAACACTTTTTACCCCTCGAACTAAATAAGGCTATTTTGGGACGAAGGTAGTAGAATATAAGTGTTTTTTGCAAATATTAATGTTAGGGAAAAAAGATTTCCTTTCAATCATCTTAAGTGTTTAAATTCTCCTTAAGGACCGTGATTAGGTGAAAATGTATGTTCTGTGCGTTGGAATCAGTGGAACAATACTTATATTGTAAAAAAACTTATTTCTATCTAAGCAGTTGGATATTATATAATTTTACAGTTTTTATTGAGAGATTATAGGATGGTAGTATAAATAGAAATGATTTATTGGATAGAAAAATTATAAACAGTTGATTCTACTTACGATTGTAAAGCATCTCTTTAAATCTTTTTAACTCAGATTAAATTAATATTTTAATTTGCGGACAGTGTGGTATCTTTTCGGGAACCATAAAAATAGTTGTATTTAGAGCTAATCTAATTTTATTACACAAACGAATGTATGCACTATGCACCCACACCATATATTAATCTGAGTTAAAAACAATTAAAGAGATGTTTTACAATCGTAAGTAGAATCAACTGTTTATAATTTTCTCATCCAATAAATCATCTGTGTAGTAGGAGTGACATATTAGGACTCGATAAACAAACAATATAAACTATATATATTATTGTATAGTGCCTCCTAATGCCTCATTATTGAACATGTAAAACATCATATAAATAATTATTTATTAGAACTTGCGGCAAATCTTTAAGTAACTTGTTTCCATTTCAATATTAGTTCACTTTGAAAAATTAATATACTCTTTACAAAATTGGCGTACTAAAGAACAACCGAATTAAATTCGTCCACACTGAAGTTACTAGCAAGTAGCAGCAACAACACCTGACATAGAAATTGGAATTATGGTTTCGCAGGTTTGAAGCCAACTAGGGAGATGACGCTTGTGAAACAGGTCAAGTATGGGGATTGCTACGTGGAGTCGGCGTGGCCGCTGGGTACTGCCATAGAAGCCTTGTCCTCCCAGAAGAGTCATCAGTCTGCATGATCCATTTAGCTATATCACGCAAGGATGCCTACATATATGTATGTGTTCTGATTCACGTACGTTTGAGCGGTGGAGAAGATGTTTGGCAGATTTGAGTAGCAAATTCATAACACTGCGCAATTAATAACTTAATAAAATGGTATTGTTTGACGGCAAATTTATACTGAGCCTTGCATGGTAGTTACATACACTGAAAAATCTTAATCCTAATGGGCCTCCAATCGAAGGCCTTAGGCAATAGCCCGGGTGGCCAGAGGCCACGTTATGTTTCACCCATGGTTACGGGGTTTAAAATAAACTTCTTACACTAATGCTCACCGGTTGTCAAGTCTCCTGACTGATATGTTTATTTATTTTCAGTCGTTAAATTTACGGGCATTTCACTTTATTGCCAATTTCAATTTGGTAAATTTTGAGGTTACCGAATTTTGGTAGGGTTTTTATGATTAGAAAGTTTGGGAACCATCAAATTTTGCTAAGATGATATTGGTAAGGTACTAAGGTAGTGTTTAGTTTTTTACTCTATCAAAATTTACTTGGGTTGAAAGTGATGGTAAAGTGAACATGCCCAACATTCTCATATAAGGATTTTCTTTTAACTACTTAGATATCACTTATGCTTATGGTGTTGTGCATAAAGCCATGCCATTCCAAATCTCTGTGGTATATATGTTACAAATCACCACGGTGCATAGCATCTCACACCATCACACGAAATCCTTTTTATCGACGGTCATTTCTATTTCAGTCTTAGCCTATCCCATTCCCATTTAGCAGGTCGAGGGTAATGATATTTCTCTCATGTGCATTCTTTTAAATGGGCTTATATGTTTTTGGGAAAAAAAAACCCATGCACATGGCCCGAAAGGAACTGTAGCCCATTCATATACATGGGCCATATGCAATTCGTTGTCATTTACAAGCATGAAGTTATAGGTACAAAATTTATGTGTATAAAATGTATAAAACTCATATGCACATATTATATATATATATATATATATATATATATATATATATATAATATACATATATGAAGTTTGTATGTATAAATGTTTTGGGCCAATATATTTCTCACTGGGCCTCAAAAACAAGTGGGCTCACATTCAAAGAAGCTCCTACAGACTTATAAATAAGCACACATGGATCAATTTAAAACCGGACATGGAGAGAAACACGGACTGCAATGCCTGACGGGCACCCGTGCGCTCCAACAGTTCCGCATGAGCAATCATGCATTAGACCTACCCAAATTAATTTAATCAATTACCAATTCACATGGGACATATAGAAGTGCGAGTTATACCACTGTTAGAAACAGGATCAGATTTTTTTTATATAATTGGCGTGGTCATGGCCATGGTTCCGGTTCGCATTAAACGATCAAGTATACAAACATCACTGCATTTGCCCGCAGGCGAGGAAGTCCATTGAGCCTGAATGCTATGCCTAGTTGCAAAAGTATCATCTGCAGAAGGTTTAGAAATCAAGGTATGTCATGCACTTCTTGTGGATTTTCAATTTGATAGACAATAATAAGTGATTGATTGTTTCTCTCCTTTGAATTTTGATCTTGTGGCTTAGTGATTTATTAGCGGTTTGTTTTCTCATATATTTATCAATTTTTAAAAATATCTATCAATCAATCATGCTTTATGAATTGATTAATATTTGCAAATTGACATGCTTACTATTATCTTTTGATGTATGATGAATTATGTATGGCGTAAAGATTATTGCTTTATTTCAAAAAAATTTTGTTTGCCTTTTTGGGCCCAAGTATTACTCTCTCCCTCCCTCAGCCCGCAGCCTCTCTCTCCCTCCTCCTCCCTCTTCAGGCCATCGGTCCAGCCCTTTTGCTCCTCCCTCACCAAGAAGTCCATTTTGTCTCCCTCCTCTCAATTCAAATAGTTTTTCGGGTAGTAAATGATTTCAAATGAAAAAAAAATTGTCAACACAAAGTCGTACAACTTATCAATATCTACAACTTTTGTTTTTGTCATTTTGCTATATGGTTTTGTTTCAATAATTTGAATTTGAATTTCAAATTACAACAACTTCAAAAAACATTTTCAAATACTAAATGATTTCAACTGAAAAAGTCATCAACAACAAAGTTGTATAACACATCAATATCTATAACTTCTATTTTGGTCGTTTTTTCATCCGACAAAGTGATAGTAACATTGCTCACAAAATTTACATCTCTCTCTTATAGTTTATATCTGTTATAGTTTTATAAATTTTGTGAGAATGTTATTTGTCGGATGAAGAAACGACCAAAATAGAAGTTATAGATATTGATGAGTTATACAGCTTTGTTGTTGATGACATTTCAGTTGAAATCATTTAGTATTTGAAAATGTTGTTTGAAGTCGTCATAATTTGAAATTCAAATTCAAATTATTGAAACAAAGTCATATAGCAAAACGACCAAAACAAAAGTTGTATATCTTGATGAGTTATACAATTTCGTTGTTGATGACTTTTTCAGTTGAAATCATTTAGTATTTGAAAATGTTGTTTGAAGTTGTCATAATTTGACATTCAAATAATTTTATACAACTTTGTTGTTGATGACTTTTTCAGCTGAAGTCGTTCACTAATAAAAAATTCTATTTGAAGTTCTCAAACTTTGAATTTCAAATTATTCAAATAGAGTCAGATGGAGACACGACCAAAATAAAAATTTTGCATCTCGATGAGTTCTACAACTTTGTATTGGTGACTTTTCTATTTGAAATCATTTATTAACCCCAATTTTCGTTCGAAATTATCAGATTTTGAAAATTCAAATTTTTAATTTTTCAAATGAACTTATTCGTAAAAAATACCAATACGATAGTTGTAGATCTCGATGAGTTCTACAATTTTGTTGTTTCTGATTTTTGCATTTGAAACAACGGTAGTTATTTTTTACGTCATTGACTTATTTTACCGACGGCTGACCATTCGTCTAATGTAAAATTTTTTATGCAAATATAAAATTATTTATATCATGCTTAAAAAACATTTGATGAGGAATCAAGTTAGATTCAGTTTGAATGATTGTATAACAAACCGTTGACCTATGCAGACCGATCGACATCGAGTATAATTGTCCGAAGGGAGTAATTGCATATAACTTTGGCATAATATTACATATGAATATAATTTGTTTTTCGTCTTTACCACATATATATGTTTTCAATTGAATTTTTTGGTAACATTTTCACAACACGTGTTTATTTTATTTAAAAAATATTTATGTAGGAATATAATGTTCTTTTGCTCTTGTAATTTGTTTTGGATACACCATTTCAGAAAATTGGTAGCATTCTCACTTATTTTCACCAAATGTCTTCATTTTATTAAAATATATTTATGTTGGAATATACTGTTTATTTGCTCTTGAAATTATTTTTGCATATAGTTTGTATTTTTTTTCCAAAAAAGAATGATACTGTAGCTGTAGACGCCAATTTTTTTGTGGGGTGGGAGCCAAAATTTTTCAAAAGCAAAATCTTCGCGGTCGGGCCACTTTGCGGTCAAGCCATTTTAAATTTGAATTGACTGTTTTGTCCAAATAATTCAATAACTATTGTCAACGCACTAGGGTCATTTCGGTAAAGCCGCGTTGTGATTGCTTCATACCCTGGTTCCTCAAACCCTAGCCGATTCCAATTCCCAAATCCACTGAAACCCAGCTGTCATCGTCTGCTTCCTCGCCGCCACCATCCACTCTACCGCCGAGCTCCCTGCCCACCACTACCGACGGCGACTACCTCCACCGCCACGGTGTCTTGCCTCTTCCGTGAGTCCTGCCGCGACTCCTCCTCCTCCATCGGCTCATCTGCCATCGTCGCGTCATCCACCACCGGCAGTGGCGGCCTCTCCCCCCGTTCCCCGACCTCGGCATCCCCTCAATCCCCCGATCCACGCGGCCACAGCCCCCCTCCGCATCGCCTTGCATCGGGCTGATCCTCCGCCGGCAGATCCCAACGCCGACATATCAAGGACTACGCCTCGCTATTGTTAAGGTGGTGGAGGTGGTTGCCTCCGGAGTCCCTGTGACGGCGGCAACGCAGCTCGGCCACGTTGATTGCTTGGATGCGGCTCAGCAAATGCAAGGCGAGTAGCGATTGCTGCGCTTAGATTTTCTTTCTTTGTTGCTAATACTGGGTCCTTATTTCTTTCTTTGCTTACTAACTAATTCTAGATCCCTATATCTTCTGACTTTTTTTTATGCAGTAGTCGACTGGAAGGCTTTGGGCTGCCTTCCTCTTCATGTGCATGGTTTTGAAGAGATTTATTTTTATTTTCCTGTTTTCAAGAGATATATGGCCCAAATAATTTGAACTTTTTTTTCTCATGAATGAGTGTAATGGCATGTCAGTAAGCATGCTGATCCTATGCCATTCAATCTGGGAAATCAACCTACTGAACATAGTGTATGCAGTTATCTTCCCAATATTTCCAATAGAAATATGGCATATAGATCATTGTTAAACTATATTACGAGGACATGACTAGCTCGGATATAACCATAACTACCTTATGTATTAATCAACCAAATGTGCATATGTTTTATACTAGATTTACTTGTTATATATTTAAACAAACGTTGCTACACAATAAGTTTTGTGTGTTTTCATTTACAGAGTTACTTGCTTGGGTGAAAGAAAAGAGACCGAGCATAAGGAATGCATGGATGATTGAAGAAGTTGATTAGGGACCAAACCAAGACCTTCTCCAAGTATTCTTTCATCTCACCACGTCACTTTGAGCCCGACCTTTCCTTCTCGTCGCCGGTCGTCGTGGGCCTTCGCCGTCGCCTCCGAGCCCCTTTAAAAGGACCCCCGAGCTCTTCTCTACCCGCCGCCACCCTCGCCTTCGCCTCTCGTCGTCCGTAGCGCCCTAACGCCGTGTGCCCTAGCGCCGCCATCGCCGCCGTCGCTCCAGCCGTGCGCCGCCGCCGTTCCAGACGTTGCCGTCGCTCGGGAAGATCGCCATCGCGTCGCCGTCCTCGTCCACTCCTTCGCCGTCGCTGTTGACCGCCGGAGCACCGTCGCCGTCGTTGACCTGAAGACCGCCACCGTTTCTTCGTCGTCGCCGTCGCCGTCCGTTGATCTTCCGCCGCTCTTTTGGTCACCGGTGAGTTCGTCGCGTCGCGCTCTACCCGTTGGTGCCTTCCGTTTGCGCCGCCGTGCCGTCGTTCGCCAGCGAGCATGCAAGCCCGAGCCGCCGAGCCGCCGCCGCCGGTGGTGACGTCATCGCTGACGTCATCGGGGCCGTTCGCCGTGAGCCGGTCGTGGACCGATCGATCTCAGCC